GACAATTTCCGAGGAGCTTGCGACAAGATAAGCCAAGTTGTGACAAACGCCCACTATTAATGCGTTTGTCGCAGCATGTTCCCACCACAGATAAAATGCAACTCTTCGTTTCTTGTTACTTGCGACAATAAAGCGCGTCTATTGATATTCATAAATGATAAAAAAATTGATAGCGACATTTTGAACGAGTTAATAAATTAACGTTAGTACAAGAAAAACTGAGTTCTACGAAGAACAGAAATTTTACGAGTTCAATGTGTGAGTGATTATAATTATATGCTTTAGATTCGAAGATTATCAGTACATGTTTTTTGAAAGTAATATAATGTGTAGTACAAAGTGCTGATAAAAGTCTCTTACGTATATTCACGTACTCTCTTCCTGACGATAATTAAACCGTGGTATTCCTGATTAACTCGAAAATCAAATAGGACAAGCCATTTCTTGCGATACCTCTCATGATAATTCGCATAATAAAGATCGAGTAAAAGTTATTCTACAAATTCTAAAAAAAAAAAAAAAAAAAAAATCTTTCTCGCGACACGATTAAAAGAAATGAAGTCGCGCGTTCGAGCGTGAAAAAAAGAAGAAAAAAAAAAAGAGAGAAAAAAGGGGGGAAGGGAGTGGATTCGCGTGCACGTATATGCACTGGAAATCGTAAAGTCGGTCGCAGCGAGTGCACACACCTGTCCGTGCTGCAGCACTGACGCGTATTTACCTCGTGTCGTTCCTTTCCCTTGTTGCCGGCGTTACCTGTCCTCTCCTCTCTCTCTTTCTCTCTGTCTCTGGCCGTTTTCGGGAACGTTCAAAAGAGCCCTCCAAATCGGTCGCTGGACCGGTACTGACTGGCGCGTACCATACGGAGGAACGACCAGCGGAGACTATCCACGCTCACCGTGGACCGTGAGCAACCAGAGATGATCTCATCGTTTTTCTTTCTTCCGACACCCCCGTTTGATCTTTCACAGCCACATGTTTTTCTCTCGTTCCTCTGCTCGCGATGGAACCGAGTCATCCCCGGGCCCCCCCTGACAAAATTACGCAATCCCGCGCGAGCGTAATCAATCGCACGCAGGCCAGAGCAAGTTCCTTTCCCGAACAATCTTTTCTTCTTTGTTTTTTTTTTTTTTTTTTTT